AGCAGGGCAGAGCCCCCACTCCGAGTGCTGCCATGCCCACATCCCACCCCTTCCGCCATGCTCCTCAAGTAATATGCCCCCCCGCCCTGGATAGGCAGCTTGTCCCAGCCCCAATCCCTCTCTTCTCCAACCCCAATGGACTTATCAGCTGAAGGTAGCTGGGTCAGCTCCTTGTTTAGTCTATGGCCAAATCTCTGACACAGTGCCAAATCATTCAGATCTGATTCAGCTGAATAAAATTGGGACAGTGATTTGAATCTCCGCTTTGAATTACTGTCCTCTGAATTGGCCAAATCCGAATGTGAAGTGAATACTTGCTGCTTCGCACAGGCCTACTATTTATTTTTAGTTCTTTGAATGTTGCACTACAGTTGGATCATAGTCATATTACTTTAGCTCAATTATATTGAAAGTAAGGGTAACAAACAGCCTCATTAGCTAAATATTACCTGCCCCTGCTGGAATATTTGGAAGGCACAGTTAAGGTCATTCAGATTATAGTATATAATGTATATACTATATAAGGCTATACAGTAAATAGCCTTAATTTAATTTTTACTATGGCAGCGGAGGCAGTGGGTGATGCTGTAGCATGATGGTTATTAGGAATTTTGTACTAGGACTAGTAATATTCAACATTATAATCCCTTGATAATAGCATAGTACCACACCTCACAATATTCCCACTGGTCCAAACTTCTAGGCCCTTTATACTGAGTCTCAATGTTTATTCAGTAGCTAAAGAATTATAATCTCTTTTCTTCAATTACCCAGAACTGAGGTTATTGATACTCCCCGCCCCCCTCCGAAACACATACATACTTTAAATGGTAGAACCATTACTATACTATTGTAACCAAAAAGTAACGGGATTGACTTCTAAACTACAGCAACCTTCATAGCATCGTGACAGTCTGCCTCACAGTGATTTACTATTAATATTATAGCAAAATTACTCACATACCATGTAAAAAAATTAGCTTTCCAAAATGGGTTTCATGTCTTAAGTAGAGAAATGGAATTTTTCTGGACAAAACAGAAGCATAGGGATCCTGTAAAATGGCTGCTACTTTTTTTTCTTCCATTCCCTTCAGTGGTCACATGGAGGGAAGAGCAGATTCCAGCAGAGACTGAGCCAGCGGAGGAGTGAAATGGTACAGTCACACTCTTTTGATTCCTGATCTACTTAGAGTTTAAAACCAACTGGCTGCAGCAACAGAAGTGGCATTTCTATTCAGGCTGCTGAAGGAGTCAACTAACCTCATAGCTCATTGTAATCTATCCCATTAATCTCTCTTCACTCAGCAGGTGTTAACAACCCTCTCTCCTTTTAATGGCTGGGATATTCAACTTATTAAATTGTCCTTTCTTCTGCAATTTTTGGTGTCTGATAGCTACTCTGGGTTTCTCTCTTCCTATTTCACGGCCCTGCAGACTATTTTTAACTCTTTTCAAAATCCTAGATCTGCTGATGGAGTCCAGGCTTCAGCAGCAGCTACAGTTTCTTGGCTGAGCACCTAAGAGCTGCAGACAATTCACCTGTGAAAGCATTAAAACTGCTTTTGCCTGAGCAGAAGAGGGAGGGTGAGTGAGTGGAAGATTAGGCCCTGTCCCTGATCTATGCAATCAGAAGTCTGAAACTTCTCTTTTTTTCCCTTCATTTTGCCTTCCCAATAATAAGGTACATGTCTTATTTTGGGGCCATGAAGCATACAAGAAATACAGTACACTCTGCCTATGTTTCAACATAAATATGAACAAGAACATTTTAAACATCTTATAAATACACTTTTGGTGTAGTGTAACAACCGTTAGACAATAAGTCTTGGCATTCATTTTTGAAGCCATCATTAATTTACTATATAATTAATCAAATCATATTCCTCTTCCATTTTTGTCTTGTTGTATTCTAACATCATACAACAGGAGCAGTTGGTTGCAATGATCTCTGAAAGATCATTCATGTTGCTCACTCCAGTTCCCATAAAATTTTACTTAATTATAAATCGGAAGCTACTAATTACTGTATTTTATTGTTTCTGTTTTCTCTAAAATCTAAAAGTTGGAGACTGTCCTTTTAAAAGTCATAGCTTAGATTTCAAGAAGTAGTTTTTAAAATTATGAGAACTGCCAGACACCCCAGAACTCTACACATATATCCCTTATATGAAAAGAACCAATTATATGCTATGCAGGTTGTGTATCTTGTTTTAAAACAAGTTTAATCAGCACACTTGTTTCTTTTCGATGTAGCAACGTGTTGACTGAGATCTGAGGAAGGGTGTATAGGTATCCAAATATCTATCTAATAAAATATATAACCCTCAAAAATCCTTGTGTCTCATATTTTTCCTGGATGATCCTGGTTGCTATATCACAACAATACTACTAGTGTGCCACTTGATATTTTTTCCTTTCTTAGGAAATGCATATTCAGAACCTTGGAGTAAGGACCTGGATTAAGAAATAGTCCCAATAAACAGAATTAAGTAATGAACTTGGTGCTCATCTCACATGTGCCATTGTTATGGAGCATCTTCTGTGCGGTACGTTATGCTAATGGAAAACAAAGCTCAAACCATAAGTAGCTTACGTGTATTGTTTTGATTCAATTATGTATATTTTCTAAAGTTCTCCCTTTACTGGAGGAACTCCAAGTGAAAAACCACCACTGTGGTATGCTTGATGGACTGAGTTCCCTGATTCTTCTCTCATAGGTCAGGTTTAGCCCAGTGCCATTCTATTGGAGTTATTCTGCAATTGGGTCCTGAATTGAAAAATGACTTGAGCATGTGTTAATGCTCACTGACTTCAAAACTAAGCATTCACTTAAAGCTTTGGTAAGTGTGAACATAAGGACATAACCAACATTTTAACTAAGTGAAAGATTCATATGCACAAAAATGGAGCACAATAAGATTCTCAATAAGTCTTGCACTACTAAACTATTTAGGGACTGTTCAAAGCTCCTCTTAAATCAATGTTGAATATCTTTATTAATATTAACAAGACTGACATGTCTTTTAATATAAATATAATCTTGAGTTACTATAAAATTACCATCACAAGTAAAACATTAGAAATAAAGTATCTCAGTCTTACAGTAATGACAGGTAGCCCCCATGTATCCTGTATTTGTACAATTGCAGTAGAAGCTGTTCCAAGACTGTGAACATTCACCACCATGTTCACAGTAATTAGGCAAACACCTAAAAGAACAAAAAGAAACATAATCCTTTATTGTACCACTACCTAATAATTACAGTAGTATATCTATCAAACCAAGAGAGCCACCTTTGTGACAAAAGTGATACTAAAGGCAAAAATTGGAGAAATAAAAAGAATATGCATTAATTCTGTAGTAATTCTGAAGGAGAGCATCAACAGAAAGCTGGAGAAAGAGTAACTTTATTACCTAGATATTGGATTTCTCATATATTAAATAACTGCCATTTAAAGCAGCTGTTCTTTAAGAGTAAATATCAGTAGGAATGATATTTAGAGTTACCTGTAATTATTTGTTTTTTCGTGCTGTATAAATAGGTCCAATCATCACTTATTAAGAATATACACTTCCTCTAATGCTAATGGTGACTATACGCACTCTCTGTAATTGGCATTCAACACCTGCTCTGCACTCTTACGCAACGCTTTGCCTCGTATATATTTCAGTCATGATTTTGATTCCTTTTACACCTTTTTTGACAAATACATTGTTATCACCAATCTGTAACTCATTTATGTGGTCTTCATTTATATTGACTCCTTGTCCATTTCGATTTATCTTTCTAATAGTCTTCACAAAATGAAAAGCTTGGGTGCAATTGACGATGCTTGAATCAAGTTTAATATAATTGGAGACAATTTAAAGTATAATTAAAATCTTTTAACACTGAATTTTAGACCTTTCCTCTGTTGTAGGTTTTAGTAGAAAGCAGTCAGTAGGTAAGTCAAAGTAGTTCTATACAAATTGCAAGGAAAATTGCAACACTGTCTGAAATGAGATTTACAATCTAGTGCTTTTTTCTGAAGGAAACAACATTTTTGCAAACAATTTGTACTGATGCTGCTACAAAATAGGGGTAATATCTAAATGTACGCAGCACAGTTCTTGGCTTAAACTGGAAACAACAGCAGGGGAGTGGATCGGGCATTTGCCATATGGTACTTGATAACACACTTTGAGTGCATGACATCTACAAATGATGTGTAACTTAAGAACTAAAGCACTAGACTGGAGATAATCAAAAGTTAATCTTCAAATTAATGCACTGACTCAGAACAGAAGCACACCTTTTCATGGAAGACAGGATACAGGACTTTATAAATGAGTTATCTGCTGAAGAAATCTTTTCTAAACAATCTGATTCCTAAGACTGCAAATTATGGGAAAAGATACCAGTATGTACAGAATATGTACAGAGACCTGAATTATTTTTGTTAACTTCCTCTCTGGCACAATTCTATTTGTAAACTTTCTGAATGCTGGAGATCTCAACTCTATAGATGAAACCTTTCATACTATGTCCTGTATAACACACTGCTGCCAAGACAGCAAAGGTAATAATTCTCAATGGGCTATCCTATGCCTCTGTGTAGAGGCTAATGTAATTATGACAGATGCATCTGTATTCTCTCTTCAGAGACCAAATGTACTCACTTTGAAAGGCATTTAAGATGACATCTTGTCCTTTGGAGCTATTTTGGGGATGGCTTGTGTATAATTAGTATTTATTAAATATAGTAATACATTGATAAAGGATCAGAGAGAAGAACACTGAGGAGAAATAGTTGCAGAGATATGTTTATATGCCAAGGGTTATATGGACCATGAAGTAACCTAGACAACAATCATATAGTAAAAAGGCTAAAGTGGAAGACCAAATTAAGGATAATAACTAGAAACGGTAATTAAAAAAAAAAAACCCTACAAAAGGAGGGAGTGAAAAGATTATGTAAATAAAACATTTTGTCTGTCACTTTTTAAAATTTTCTTAGAAAACCAACATTGAACAAGAATCAAAAATTGAAAAAAAATGATGAAATGCAGAAAGATGTTGAGGACAAATATTTCTGAGGTATTATGAAGTACTGAGTATTACGGCTATGACAAATATACAAAAGATCTTCAATAACTGAATTGTTTGGAGTCTATTTTCCTACAGATACAAACACTAATTTCTGTTACTTTTGATAGGTGTTAAATGTAGAAGTCTTTTGTTCTTCAAAAGAGATCATTATAGTAGTTTGATTTCATCTATATATTACTAAGGTATAAATTGTGGTAAGCTCACAACTTGGCCAATTATCTCTATGTTTGCAGTTGGAAAAGTAGACTAATACTATACCCATTCCTTTGAGAGAAAAGACATACTGAAAGGGATCAGTGGTATAGAACAGCTAAATGTGTTGACAGAATATTTAATGATTGGGAGAAAAAAGAAAAACCTTTGATGATAGACTCAATCTATTGTCAAAGTCTGACAGAAAGACTTAAGCCATCCACTACAATGATAGGTTTAGAAAAATTGAATTGGGAACTGGTAAGTAATCAAAGGGGAGAGTGTAAAGTGTGCACTTAAATATGGATCAAGGGGAAGATCGATAAATATAAAGACATGTTTTGCTTGATACTTTCTGTCCAGACACATGGAAAATATGTGTACAAGGGAATACTTGCAAATAGATACTTTGGCCATATAGTACCACTGGTGTATTACAAAACAGAGGTTAACAAACCTTAATATAGTCAGAGGCAAAGGAGTACATGGGTATTCAACTGGGGTTTGAAATGACATACAGAATTAGTTCAAAGAAAGACATACAGGAAAGGTGTTCCAGAAGCTGGGCTCCAGCAAACACAATTTATGGGATTGTGTATGTAAAATGAAATACAGTTCCTGGGATAAACTATAGAGGACTGTCCAGAGTGAATGCTGAAATATGGAGCTAGTATAAGAATGGATAAAAGAGACTGTACTGCTTTGTACACATGAGAAGGTGAGAAGCAATACACTGAACATGCCGGGTCATTTGAAAGCTAGGGAGGTTATGGAAAAAGGAGTTGCAATAGTCAAGAATAAAAGAGTCCAGGTTTAAAGTAGCTGAAGAACAGTAATTCAATGACTGAGATGAGGACCCATTTTTTTATCATTTTGTGTGTCACTAAACATGAAAGACCATGAACCACGGTAATGAACTATGATGGTTATACAAACTGAATAGAAAGAGTTAATACAATATCAGAAAAGCAGTAAAATTCCAAATGACTTGAAAAAAGACTGAGACTAAGGACTTCAAGTGACTTATGCAATTCAGTGTGGGAAAAATATAAGATTGGTGATACCAGACATGAAACAAAAAGGGTAACAATCTCCATATGCTATAAAGATTCAGGGAGATAAGGATCTAGGGAAGAGGTAGATACAAATCTAACACCTCTGGCATAGTATTTAACAGCAGCATAAAAAAGCAATCAAAATGGTAGGGTGGATAACTGAGGTACAGCATATAACTCTGAAGAAATTTAGCTAGCACTGTATTAGAGACAGGAAGGTGATGTTTGGAATACTGTGAATATTTCCGGTCTTTAATATAAATAATATATAGCAGTACCTGACAAGGCACACTTAAGAGAATGCAAAGGACCTGAGGATGTAAGCAAGGGCCGTCTTAGTTATTTTAAATAGTTAAGAAATTCAATTTTGTATTTAATAGGGAAGCCATAATTTAACAGAACATACTTTGGAAGGGAATGATTATTTTAAAAGTACCTAGTCATAAAATAAATTTAAGCCTCTACTTCAAAGCAGAGGAAGTACTTAGTATCAACTATATCATGGACTTGAGAGGACAACTAGGCTATTTTCCATCCTGATACTATCATACTACCCCAATTGTTTGTCTTTAAGTACTACAGTGTTTCACTAAAATTTATACAGCTCACATATTACCTTGTTTGACCTGCACACAATTTGTCTCCCAATTCTTCCCTTTTATTGCATAAAAAAGGATCATGTGGTTTATTAGATATGGTGGTAGTACTTTGGGTCTAGAACTGTAAGAACAGCACTTTCAAAATTAAGGGGGCAGGGCATGAAAGACATGGATGTGATGGGGAGAGGAAGTACAGAACAGAAATTTGGGAGATTAGAAGTATAGGATGAGGTAACACTGAATGGAGGGGAAAAAATTAAGGTAGAATAAGAGAGAAGCATGAGATACTGAGACTAAAAAAAACTGTAGGTGAGATTTATACCTCGTATTGGGTTCCATAATGGAATTTGGAGGTCAGCCATCAAGAATTCAGATGATAAAATTCATAACCTACAGAAGTCCATGGGGATTTTCCTTTGACTTCAGTGGAGACCTCAAAGTCATCCAGAGTCATAGGCAAATCCAGGATTAAAAAAAAAGGGGTGCGGAAACAACAACTGCCCCTGCAGGGTTGGCCATACCCAGTCTCAGCCTCCCCCAAACCAGAGTGGAGCAGACCACACCAAGCAGAAGCAGCAGCAGCAGCAGCAGAGTTTTTTTTAATGTTCCCAAATCAGGTAAGGGTTTTCCCCACTCTCCTCCCACTCTTGGTACACAATCTCTTCATCTCTGTGCTCAACACCACCTCCTCTCCCATTCTCCCCGGATCCCTTTTTCTTATGCCTTTGGGCTCTGGAAGGGGAAACCTGCCTCCTACTACCACTGTCCAAGTTGTTCCTTGTCCTGCTTCAGCTGAGGCTGCAAGGAGCAACTGTGCAGTAATCAGACTCACCTGTGGACAGAGAGGTGGCAGCAAGCTGATTCCTCCACCCTCTGCCTACTCCTGAGCCAGCAGGGAACACCTGGAAAGACTGGTGGGGAGGAAGAACTTATCAGCTGCGGCTGCTGCTGTCCTTGGCTAAGCCTGGCTCCCCACACAACCCAGCTGGAGTAGGGTAGGGAAGCTGCTAAGGTCAGCTCAGGGACAGGAGCAGCAGTGGGTAAGGGAGAGGCAGAATATGAGGGGTGGAAAGAGGAGGACACCTCTTTCCCCATAAGTGGCACTGAGCATGAAGAAGGGAGACCATTCCAGGAGGAGGAATACTCACCCGTTGCAGGGACTTAGAAAAAAAGTCCCTAGATGCTGCTTCTGCAGCATGGTTTGAAAATGGAATAAACACATCACCACATCCCCTCTGCACCCATCCCTGTCTAGAATGTGCCCCTAGCCCTCACTGCAGCTCAGAAAGTTCAGTAGTAAGGGTAATATCCAATGAAAAATAAAGTACCAAGGGCAAAAATAGAGGTTAAAACTGTACGTATTTTTAAAAGGCATTTCATGAGCATTTGGAGTAAAACATTTGGAGTCATAGATTTTTCAGATCTAACTTAATTGAAGAGACAGAGTTTTGTTTTAAACAGATTTTTTGACCATCCTCCTTTCGGTAAAATTAGGAAAAGGATTAGAAAAGGAAATATTAACTCTTTTGTTATTATGAAAAAGTCAAAACAGCACAGGTAGTAGTTATGATTTCCCTGATAATACCCCATCAATGATCCAGGATGGATTAAAACAACCCTGTTATTGAGTAGGGAGCAATTCACAGCAATGTATATGACAACTCAGTTCTGAATCTATTCAGAAGAGAGATTGATAGTTTTGATGAATAACATACAGAGTAAGTTTATGAAGGTTGGAATAATGTACATTAAACAATAAACAAATCATTATGTTTTTTGAGGCTAAAGAAAATAAATTACTTAAAATGACGAAACATACATATTTTTGTTGTTTTTTCTTTAAGAAGAAAATTGACAACATTAATCTCTATCAACTGTATTACTTAGCAAATGTTCATAATATAGGGTGAATTTTCCTAGATGGCAAAATAGAATTGCCCCATTTTTACCACCTTCTGCAAGGACGAACTATAATAGGTAATATATTACCCAGTATCGTACTTTTAAAAGAATACTCCAATAGAAAACAGCATTGGACTCAAAACCATAGGAAGGAAGTTATTGTGTGTCTACCTTTAGTCTACATATTTATAACACTTTAAAACATTTCAAAAGTATGTCAAATGTTTTTAACAATATATACTGTGGTTTTATTTTTAAGTGACATAAAACAATTATAATGATCACCTACAATAAATGCACTGTAATTGTACCAGAACTTAGAGTACTTTTGTATGGAGAGTCAAGATAAGGTATTTTCTAAGAGCTCTCTGCCTTGACAGCAGTTAAAGGTTTGAGAAAAATGCTTTCATAAATAAAAAATCAGATTTGCCCTTACCTGTCTATAATGCCACACAGGTCTATCTGAAGGTCACTGAAATTACCAAGGGAGTTTTGCTGAATTGAAATCAGATCTACCGCTTTGTTACCAATGGAAATGAGTCTCATGCATCCTTGAAAACCAACAAATGGACTTTTACAGTCAGAACCATTACCATTATTAGGACACCCTGAAACAAACAAACAAATAGAAACAATAAGAATAGATTACTCTTACAGAGATGGCTGACACATTTAAAAGGATTTTACATCTTCATGAGATAAAATTATGGGAGTGCATTTAAATAGTAATTAGGTGCCTTTGGGCCTTGTGATATATTAGAGATGTTCAAGAGACTCTTCAGGTGTTTTAAGGTAACTTTATAATAATAATTTCACAAAACATTGTGGTAAAATAAATTAAACCTCAATTTTGAAATTCAAATAAGGTTCATATTTTTGGAATCAAGATATTCATGAACACAAGGGTATTATATTATTGGGTTATTATTGTTTTAAAATAACTCATTCACAATCTACAATAAGCTAATTTTTACTCAATTATTATAATTTTAAACAGAGCCTATTATCTTTGTACATACAAATATATGGCCAATAAAATGCATAAATTCAATCCACTGAAACTAAACTGCTCAGCAAACCTGTTGCAAATAGAAAAGAAAAGTAGTTACTGGATCATAGGTTATGAACACTTTATGTAAAAACAGTTTTTTAAATTATTATTATTTTTCATAGAATCGTAGAAAATTAGGGTTGGAAGGGACTTCAGGAGGTAATCTTGTCCAACTTCCTGCTCAATGAAGAACCACCCCCAACTAGCTCATTTCAACCAGAACTTCATCAAGCTGAGCCTTAAACTTCCAAGAATGGAGATTCCACCAGCTCTCTAGGTAAGCCATTCCAGTGCTTCACCACCCACCCAGTGAGGGATTTTTTCCTAATATCCAACCTAAACTTCCCTTGTTTTTTCAAGAAGTTTTATGGTAGTCATTTACTTGGTTTGAAATACAATTGATAATTGGTTACTGAATATCTATGTGACAAAATATGTTTTGCTTTTTGTTTTCTGGCTTCATTTCAGGGGGCAATGTTGCTTACAGGAATGATTCACAAGGACAGTCCTTTGATCTTAATTGAAAAGTATTGTCTCCTGGGTCACATCAGTCAAAGAGCTTCTTGTCTCATAACGTTAGCATTCAATGACTGAAAGACCATTCTCTATTCCATAGAGTTAATAGGTAGCTCTATGCTGAGATTTACTATACAGGAAAATGAAATGACAATGGAAACTAAGAAATACATTACAGAGAGTGGAAACCAACATTAAAGAGTCAACAGCATTTTAGAACTTAAAATGTAGGACATGGAAAAAAATAAAAATAAAAACAGAACAAGGTCCCCTAGTCAGGTAAATGACTTACCTCTCAAATCTCATTGCTTTCAGAGGGAGATGAAAATATTTAATAATCAGTATTGGGTGCAAAGAATTACAAGTTAATGCCTTTCAGGGTTCTAAGTGAGAGTAGAATTTGAAGCCAACACCTTACAAATCTGTTCCAGTATTTGTTGGTATACTATGTTGGTACATAATGCTAGAATAGTGATAATAAGGCAAGTCTTTAGCTGAATTTCTCCAGTTAATTTTGTATTTTTGAAATAGACATATATAGTTAGTACAATTCCATTTTTTGGCATTTTGATCCTTTATTAAGCTGAAATAATACCATTTTCTGCAACACCAACTGAATCCAGTTCCATATTCTTTCATATTCTCTGTCTTTTGAAACATTTTGTCTTCTAATCATGCTATTGGTAAAGAATAAATCATTTGCATTAATATTAATGCAAGCAGTGTTAAGGCTTGTGGCCAGTGTACTAAGTTATCCTATATCAAAGCAAAGAAAAGAATTCCATAAATTATGGAATTCACCCTATGTGCTTATGTATTTTTCATTAATCTCTCCTTGCTCTTACAGTTGCCAATCACTATTATCATTTCAAAGTACAAGAACTGAAAGATTCAGCATCTCCTTGACTCCTGCATGATCAGGGCTCGTGTTTGACATCATAAGGCTAAAGAATTTCCATACTAATTAAATATATTCTCAGCTAAGACTCTATAGTTCTAAAATACTTTATATTCCTAAGAAATTACATCTTTTCCACTGGAAGACATATTTTCATATTTTAACAATAGGAATGCAAAAACATTGTGCATATTTCAGCAACCTAAAAGTGAGAAAAGGAGAGAAGAAATTGAAGCAGTGGAATATGACAAAAAGAAAGGGTTTTTCAAACTCCAAGGCTTTTCAAAGGCCATTTTGCAAGTTAGTATGACATTGTACAAGCTGCTGGTTTGATCATAAAGCTGCATTCAGAGAAGCTGAGGGGTGGACAGGCAATTAGAGCTTTCAGTGTTCTTGGCAATAATTTGTTCCCCAAAAGATAGATAGAAATGTCCTGCTGTACAGCTTAATTGGTTATGCCATTTTTTTGCAACCATCCACATCCCTTCTGAGCTGTGCACCTGTGCCATAAGCCCTACAATACTCACTGGTGCAAATCACATAATCAGGAACCAAAAGCAATGCAAAAAGATGAAAATGAAAGAATATATGTTTTCCTGCATTCATACAAATATTAAGATATTTTTATCACTCCCCTCATTCTTTGTTTTCTTTCTAGGTTTTTATCATCAGCATTGTATCCAAGGAAACTTTTATATTAATCCTATTAGCTTTCTGCCTTTCCAGTGAAATTTGAAAATTATAAATAACATGTGTAAATCTCTGCAAATGAGATTAAACACAGGGACATAATATAATTTATATGGAACCAAAAGTAAACTTTGGTATATTTGCTAGCATAGCATTATTCACAAATGTTAGTAAATCCAATTAATTTTTGTTGTATAATAAGTTAATTTATTTTTAACTATTGAACAATAATCACCATTTCTCATGTTTTCCCAATGCCTACCATGTTTTAGACCAAGGATAAGCAATGAATAAAAATGATAACATCTTAAACTTTCTCCCCCCAAAATCTTGAAGTACTTTGCTTATCCTGATTAATTCAGAGCATACCTAGGGGGTACGTACAAAACCATCAGCAGCCACAAGCTATGACTTTAATGTAGAAATCACTTGGTGAGATTTCTAGTCTATGTATGTAGTAGCTTATAATAAGAAAAACTTTCCAAAGGTGCTTAAGGGTATATATCATAAAAGTTACTCAGTACCTAAATTCACTATTTAAGCTACACTACCATCCTTGAAAGCATTCTAGGTACTGTAGTTCCTTCAGTGGACCTGTACAAAATGCTTATGTACTGATGCCATCCCACAGCTAAGGACTTTTGCAGAATCCTAGCTCAAGCCAAAGTCCTGGAGGCCCTGAAATGACTACTAACAAGCAATGTTACTGGCTATCTTACCAGCAGGGCCCATTCATTTGTGTGTGCTACAAAACACAATATAGGTCTGCATGCTGCTGCATGTGTCTGTGTGTTCTAGTGTTTAGGGTACTCATATGGGATGAAGAAGACCAAGATTTAAAGCCTAATTCCAGAACCAATAAAATTCAGGGTGTGCCTACACAGCCTACACCTCTGTCATGGAGAGATACTCAAGCTAGTATTAAACAAAAAGCAAGCTATATTAGCTTGTGCAGCCCTGCCTAGACTGCTCCTGGAATCAAAGCTAGCTTGTGTAAACCTGGCAGTGGTGCTACCCATAGCCACATCCAAATTTTCGGGATCCTGGACTGCCGATAGGTCTCGGTCAACTCCCACTCTGTCTACAGGCTGGAAGCCACCACTCAGTGGAGTTCCCTCCCATGGTTCTCTCCCACACCAGATCACACACTAAATGACTATTGACAATAATTTATTATTTACAATAAGAGAAACTAACAGATTCAATATCACATAGATAACAAACACAATCTTTTCTATGAGCTTGATAATAATCTATACCAGCAAACAGAAGCAAATATTTATCATATAGCAAAAGCAATTTTGTTTTGAAATTTAGCACTTAGGCAACTTATAACAGGTATATGCACCTAATCAGCCAGATCCCCACAGAATCACTCTGCCCACAGCAAAGCAATTAACTGTAAGATGGTTGCAGTTGAGCACCCATGGAGCTGTGCTCACTCTGCCCCTGAAGAGGAGTGGCAATGCTGTCATCTGGTCAGAAGATGGGAGTCGTCTGTCAGGGCCTCAGGTGTGCTGCTCCTGAGACCGGGTTTTTTTCCCTTTTCCAGTCTTTCCTGGATGCCTGCAAACAATCACACCATCCCCAAATGCTTCCCCAAGGCATCTCCCCTGTGTTTGGCACCTGGAATGTCCCTTCTTGGCTGTACTTTGTTGAGCTCTCTGCTGGAGCTCCCACAAAGCCAAGGTTCTCTGCTGCTTTCTTTAGCTCTCCCAGAGAACCTTTCCCTGATTCCCTCCCAGTGAATCCCTGCACCCAGAGAACTAAAGAGTGGGGAGAGGAACTGGTTTGCACAAACCCTGCTCCTTTAGTAAAGGATACCAAGCAATCCTGGGTACCCAGTACAGGCAGTCCTTGACTTACAATGTTTTGAATTACAACATTTTGCACTTACAATGTTTATAAATTGACACCCTGTTTCAACTTTCTGATGTCTGCTTTGCCTTTACAATACTTGATCTGATGCCATGCCATGCCAGCGAACAAGTTCGCTGCATTGCCCTTCTCCCTGGAGAACATCTGTCCAAACTTCCTCGAACACTTTCTTTAAGAAAGCAGACAAGACTCCAGAAAACCTGCAGCCAAGACTCCTGAGAAGACTTCAGACAAGAACCCTTCAAAAAGTCCACCAAAATCACCTCAAAGAGGTCCTTCCAAATCAATATGATTGCTATTTACAATATAAATACATTAATGTAGCTCTATATTACTCATCTATAATTGATTGAGTACAAAATTCTGGGATATTTTTGGTGGAAATAGGGTATCAGGACTTGGTTCAGGAACCAATCCTCCATTTATAATAGTTTTTCCTATGGGAAAATCAGTTCTGAGTTACAATGTTTTAACTTAAGACACAGTTTTCAAGAATCAATTGCGTTGTAAAATCGACGACTGCCTGTATTTTATCCTCTGCCCTTACTAGCAGCTCACTCAGCAACAATTCTTCTGCCAGTAGTCCTGTCAGAAGCAACTGTCCTGGTAGCTTCCCCTTCAGAAACAGATGTTCTCCCCACAGCCCTCAGCTACTCTCTCCCCCAGACCTCTCCCTTTTTTTTTCTGGGCTTCCCACCCTGGAATTGCAGCTGTCCAATCACATGCATGCATTCTTCAGCCTTCAGCTCCAAACTTCAGCTGGTTATCACACTGCTATATCTGTGTGCAGAGCCTGCTGCAAATTCACATCCCAATAGTGCAAACACCCTGATTGGGCTTGCAAACCCTGAGCAAACCCTTCAGCCACTTTACCCTTGTTTATCTAACTCTGGGAATCCCTACATGGCACTACAGTCTGCAGTCTACTTAATCCCTGGCAGCCCTGCTCTCATTGCAGAACCTCTGTATCAGCTTCAGCAAGATCAGAAAGCCCCAGGGAAGCTGTTTCCCCGGGTCTTTCTGGTCTCACTGATACTAACACAGTGGTTGGCCCACTATCTGCTTGGCAGGAACAGCGACTGGGTCCTGGTCCTAGTCCAGACCCTGTTCATGAAGCCTCTAGTGGCAAGTCACAGCAGTGTAGGTGAAAGAGAGTCAGAGTGGTTTCTCACCTTACCATGTAACTGCTCCATTAAGCTGATTAACATCTGTTCAGATTACAGTATAAGGGCAGTCTAGAAGGGCCTTTAAAACATTTTTACATGTGCTCTGGGGGTGGGGCACTTCAATTAGAGCAGCTTCGAGAGCTGCTCTAATTAAAGCACCCACAGTCTAATGTATCAGTGTCCATGCACTTCAAGATGCTGTTTTGAAACATAAGGATGCTGATATATGAGATGCGGAGGCTGACTGAAGTGCGCTAATTAGCAGGGCTGTGCGAAGCTTCAGTAACCAATTTGATTCCGAGGAGATTTGGCCCAATTCGGCGGCTGAATCTCTGAATCTGAATTGAATCAGGAGACCCATTAAAGGGTCCAAATAGATTTGAAAGCCTCCAGATTAATTTGCAGGGATCTGGTGCTAATTTGTAGATTAGGCCACAGACTAACCAGGCAGCAGTCCTCAACCACGCTGGACACAGCTGCCTCCAGCTGATAAGTCTGTTGTGGTGGGTGGAGTGGGGAGGGAAGAGGCATGGGAGGGCAGATCAATGCTCCCACAGTGAGGGAGGGATTCAAACTGGGGCTGGGACAAGCTGCCCAGTCAGAGCAGGGGCAGGGGGGGACTTGGGAAGAGGGGCTCCTACCACTGTGCACTGCTGGTCTGGGAGCTGTTCTCGCTGAGGCTCTTCTGGCAGCTCTCGCTTCCAGTCCGGGAGGGCATGGGGGTGGGTGCATGCACCCAGATTGGGGCGGGGCCAGCAGCAGAGGCAATGGGGAATTTTAGGGTGGCTGTAGCTCCCCCATAGTCCCCACTCGACTGTGCTCTGCAGGGCGGGTGGAGCCAGGCCTGCACTCTGAGTGCAGCCCAGTGGCGGGTGGCTAGGGCTAGCCTCCCAGAGTGCAGCCTGGCCCAGCCCGCCCCACACAGATCTGGGGTTACATGCCCAATTCTATGCCCCCCAGGCCAGTGGCAAGAGCTACCGGAGGAGCCACTGGAAAAACAGCTCCTGGACCTCTAGCGCACAGTGGTAGGAGCTCCCCTCCCCAAATCCCCTACCCCTCTCCCCAGCTGGCCAGTTTGTCCCAGCCCCAGCCCTAATCTCTCCCTTGCTGTGGGGGTATTGATCTGCCCCCTCCCACACCCCTTCCCTCCCCCTCTGCCCACCACAACAGACTTACCAACTGGAGACATTTGTGTCCAGTGTGGTCAAGGACTATTGCCTGTTTAATCTATGGCCCAATCTCGGAATCGGCACTGAATCTCCAGATCCAATTTGGTCGAATCAAATCAGGACAGTGATTCAAATCACCAAATTGAATCACTGTCCCCCTGAACTGGCCGAATCCAAATTTGAAGCAAATACTTGCTGCTTCACACAGGCCTACTAATTAGCACCTCTAGCATACTTGATTAATCAAGGCTGCTCCAATGTGATGTAATTACAGTGCATCGGAGCAGCCTCCTGGCACATGTACATGCATTCTTAGACTCCAAAGCTAGCTGTGTAACTGCCATTTATGTACTGAAGTGGAATAGGATTCTACCCCAAGTACCTAAGGTACTTTTGAAAATGGGACTTTAGAAATTTGTTGCATATATTATCTGGGATAAGTGCAATGGCCATCTTTACCTTGAAAATCTATGAAAAAACATAGGTTACATCAAATTGTCACTTATATAAAGGTATTATTTTATCATTTATGATGCTAAACATAAACAAGTCACCTTACAAGTACAGCAAAAGGAACTACCAGTACAGATTTTCTTTCGAGCACACATAACTTACCACACAAAATAAGGGTGTAATATTATAGGTCAACAACCCCTGAGGAGAAAAAATAACATTTTATCCAGAAAAATTAGAAGGACCCCCCCCCTCCCCCGCTTTAATACAAATAAGCTTGATTTTTTTTCCTACAACAGAAATCTTTTTTGCAGAAAGAATATAGCTCTTGGGGCTTCTTAAGGTGGCCACCTTACTAATTGTATGAATGATAGTGTAATATTAGGGGACTACATTTTCAAAAGTGATTAATGATGCTGTTCATTAAAATTAATATGGTGCCAGCTTCATAAGACTGAAAAAAGCCATAATTCCAAGCAGTTCCAAAAGCCCACTTTGAAAATCAGATCCTTTGAGAGAGATGGAAACTGGGTACCCAGAACTTGATGGTAAAACAAATATTGAAACACTTTAAAAAATACAGGCCAAGAATAAAGCATGTTGCTTAACCCTAGGCTATTTCTAGTATATTAAAAAAAATCACCTCCAATATAGTAAGTGTCTCCTGAATAAATCTGCATAGGTACTGTAGCATGAGCAGATAAGGTTCCATCATTGTCCACCATTATACTCATACGATTCCTTTTGGCAGATAAAAAAACTGAATGCCACTGACCATTGTTTAATCCAGCACCTAGAAGAAAAAGAAAGCATAAAATGACATAACTTTGAGTAATACATGTTTAAAATAGCTAATACTTATGGGTTTTAAGCAGCAAGAACACAGTAAACATTCAATAACTTACAAAGCAAGTCAAAGACAAAGTAAATAAATAAAACTATGAAAAAGAGAGGATACAGTTTTGTCTTCTGTGAAATAAATAAAAAAGTCATTTTCTAATAGTTAAAAAAAATCCTTCTATGAATGTACAAACAATAGTTGTAATGTCCCTAACTATCAGCAGTGTATCCTTCCAACGTAGTGCTTATACAAAATGCCCTTTTATCTGAGAAAGTTATCATTAAAATATTATGGTGATGTCTCATTCTGCACTTTACAGATATCACAGAGTTTTATTGCTATTTTTAGGGCATTATTTCATCTTTTAAAATAAAACATAGCCGTTTTATTGAAACCCATCTTGTAAATGCTAGAATAACCACAGCAAAAATCAGCAGATATTTTTGGTAGGGGTGGAGTGAACTAAGGATAGAAATACACAAGCACTAGTATGAAAATAATTTTAACAACCCAACCACTCCCTTTCTGGTCTCTCAGTCCTTGTATTCAAGGAAAATATGCAAAATGCCTCGGAACAAAAAAAATCATAATCCACTGGGCGTGTGCGCGTGCACACACACACACGCACACATATACACACACACACAGGAGTTAACACAGACAATGGATTTATCGCTCATTACCATCTCTTTGCTATATTAGATACCTTCTCTGTATACCACAGACAATGGATAAGCCTTTGTGAGCCAAAGCTCATTTCATGCTTATCTATCCTGTTTCCTGCTTGAATCATAGAATCATAGAAAATTAGGGTTGGAAGGAACCTCAGGAGGTCATCTAGTCCAACCCCCTCCTCAAATCAGGACCAGCCCCAACTAGATTATCCCAGCCAAGGCTTTGTCTAGCAGGGTCTTAAAACCCACCAAGGATGGAGATTCCAAAACTTTTCTGGGTAACCTGTTCCAGTGCTTTACTATCCTCCTAGTGAGAAAGTTGTTTCTAACACTTTTCCTTTTTCAACCTCATTAGATGCATTTTCACCTAATCTTCTAATATGTCAAGATCACTCTGAATCCTAGCCCTACCCCCTAGCGTATCTACTACTTCCCCCAGCTTGGTGTCATCTGCAAACTTGTTAATGGTGCAGTCTATCCCATATTCCAGATCAGTAATGAAGTTATTGAACAAAATGGGCCCCAGAACCAACCCCTGGGGCTCTCCACTGGATTCCAGCTGCCAACTAGACATTGAGCCATTGATCACTCCCTGTTGAGCCTAACAAATGAGCCAGCTTTCTATCCACCTTAGAGACCATTTATCCAACCCATACTTTCCTTGCTGGCTTGTCAGAATGTTGTGGGATGCTGTATCAAAAGCCTTGGTACAGTCAAACAAGGTTCCTTGGGTGAATCTGATATCTTTTATTAGACCAACCCAAAGAGTTGGAAAATAATTATTAAGCAAGCTTTCGGGTTCAAAAACCCTTCATCAGGCTAAGGAAGTTTCAGCAGTTGGTGTGTGCTCTTCCTGAATGGAATGAAAAGTAAAGAAGCCAGCAGCTGGGCTGGTATGCATACAAGACAGGTAGTCAGTGAAAATGTAGTTTTGTACAAGACACTACAGACTTTCTACGGAAACTTAAAAACATAGACCACCTTCCCAGCAACACAATCCTAGCTACCATGGACGTTACCAGCCTATATACCAACATCCCACACCAAGATGGCATCCAAGCCTGCCTTACATATCTACAGGAACAAGATTACAACTCAGAATACAGACCCAAAGATATTACTAACCTTATACACTTCATCCTCACACACAACAATTTCACTTTTAATAACCAACACTTCCTCCAGATGATGGGAACAGCTATGATGCCAACCTTTTTATGAGCCACCTGGAAGAAGACTTCCTCAAGAACTGCACCATCAAACCCTTGCTATACTTAAGATATATTGATGACATCTTCATCGTTTGGACTGAAAACCTACAATCTCTGATTGAGTTCCATCAGAAATTCAACAATCACCTTCCCTCCATCCAACTTTCTCTAGAATACTCCAGCAGCAACATCTCCTTTTT